GAGACCCGGACTTGGGGGTGGGGGTCGCTTCGATCCTGGTTCAGTCCGCACCTCCTCGTCCTTCCCCTTCTGTTCGTTCTGGTCCCCCGCCCCTGCTTCCGGCCCCGAAGCGTCTGAGGGTTTCGGGGTCGGAGCAGGGGTTACTTGATCTCGAGACTCGGGCAGCTTCGGGGGTTGCCCCTTCCGGGGGGGCGGCAGAGGCATTCGAGTCTTGTCTCCCGGCCGAAGCTTCAGGGTCTGACCAGTGGGCCCCCCTTCCTCCAGCTTTTCCGGCTGCTCCGTCCTTGTCTTGTGGGGTCGGGGCTTGGGGAGAGGACTCGGCCTCGGGTCCTGTGGTGACGGACCTCGAGGCTGGGGAGGGGCTGACTTGGGGGCCTTGGGCCCCGCTGGACCCCGCCTGGGTTTTTCTTCCCACTGAGCGGGGCTTATTGTTACAAGGAGTGGGGTTTTCTTTCCCCCCCTCTGCGTACGAGTTGGATTTGGTGTCGGCCCCTCCCCGGGTTCGGTTCCGTGTTCCCCCGGGTACGTCGGTTCCGTCCTTCCGGAGGTTTTCGGCTTATCGCATCCAACCTGGTGTGGTGCGAGCGGCCTTTGCAGCTTACCTCCTGCGTGACCCGGATTATGCCTCGGAAATGGATCCGTCCACGTTCAGGTTTGGGACTTCGTTCCCTTTCTGGCTCCGTTACGAGGTTCCGGAGTCGTCCTGGCTAGCAGACTGCCCCTTGTTTGGTCTGGATTCCTGGCATTCCTTCTGTCGTTCCCGCACGCTGGAGTGGCGGGAAGCTTCCACGGTGCTTCAGGTTTTCCTGGGGGGTGAACTTGAGTACCTGAATGAGTGCTTGTTTGCCCCTGCCCTTCCCCGCGATGTGGGCGTTATTCAGCTCCATGTGCAGGTTCCCTCCCTTTCGGCGGCGCTCGTGGCGGAGGACTTGCGCGCTCGGGGCCTTTTGTGTTCGGCCTTGCGGTTCTTTTCCCTCCTGGAGCTGTCTTCGGATTGGCTCGTGGAGGATGTGGGGACGCTTGGGTCCGTCCCGGGGTCCGGCACCTTGTCCTCGGCTGCGCGTTCGTCGGCTGCCTTGTTGAAGCTGTTCACGCCGATTTTGCGGGATGCGGTTTCCCTGTTCTATGCTTCCCGTCTCGCGTGTCGGCAGGCGGTGCTGGGTTCCTCCGTGGAATCTGCTTGGGCTCTGGCTCTTAGGCATTCTTCACCTTTTTGTCCTCTCCTGTTTGGGGAGTCGGCCGTGGCGCAGTTTATTCAGGCTGCGTCGGCGGCTTGTCGTCCGATGTCGGACTTGTTGGTTTTCCGGGGGTCCCGGGGTGGGTCTTCCCGGAAAGGTCGTGCCAGGGCTCGGGGTTCCTCTCGTCGTGGTAGGCCTCTGGTGTCAGGTTTGGGGTTGGCTCCTCCTGCGGACCCTCCCTCGTCTGGTCGGCGCGGTGTTCGCGCTGTGCGGGGTTCTGGGTCTCGTAAGGGTCGCCGGCCCTTTCGCGGTTTGCCCCCTTGACGGGGCGATGGGGGGGCGGCTTGCGCTGTTCGCCCGCGCCTGGTCCCACGATTCGTGGGCCTTTCGGGTCGTGTCTCGCGGCCTGCGGTGGCGTTGGGTGGCCCCTCCCCCCTTTGGGGGGTCGGGGCTGGCAGGGCAGGTTTCTTCCCCTGCGCTCTGTCGAGTCGTCTTGGAGTGGGTACGCTTGGGCGTCGTCGAAACGACGTCGTCCCTCAGATGGGTTTCCCGTCTGTTTCCGGTTCCGAAACGGGACTGCGCGGACCTGCGGTTCATTCTGGACTTGTCCCGTCTGAACCCCTGGGTTCATTGCCCCTCCTTTCGGATGACTACGCTGTCTCAGGTTCGGCTCCTCTTGGAGCCGGGAGCTTGGATGGTGTCCCTGGACCTCCGGGACGCTTATTGGCATGTCCCGATTCATCCGCGGTTCAGGGACTGGCTCGGTTTTGTAGTGGGGCGTCTGAGTTACCGCTTTCGTTGTCTCCCGTTCGGGTTGAACCTGGCACCTCGCGTGTTCACACGCCTTACACGGGTTGTGGTGGCTCGTTTGCGTCTCCTAGGTGTTCGGGTGTTGGCCTACCTCGACGACTGGCTGGTTTGGGCTCCCAGCCAGTCAGCTTGCTTGCTAGCCAGGGATTTGGTTCTTTCCCAGCTCGCCGGGTTCGGGTTCTTGGTGAACTGGAGGAAGTCCCATCTGGTTCCCTCTCAGGTTCGGACTTGGCTGGGTCTCGTGTGGGACTCTCGAACCGCCTCCTTGTCTCTCCCTCCGGAGTCTCTCCTGCGGCTGCGGTCCCGCCTTCGTCTGTTTCTGGAGGGCCCTCGGGTCACCCGGCGGTTGCTCGAGGGGCTGTGCGGGAGCCTGAACTTCGCGATGGTGGTCTACCCGCCGGGTCGGGTTTGGCTTCGACGGCTGTTCTGGTTCCTTCGGGGTTCCCCCTTCCGCCTCTCTCGCGATCGCAGAGTTCGACCCCCGGGGGCCTTGCGTCGGTTGCTGCGTCACCGGCTTCCTCTTCGGGTTTTTCGGGGTTCAGTGCCTTGGCGCCTACCCGAGCCCTCGCTCGATGTGTACACGGATGCGTCGTCTCTCGGCTGGGGTTTTGTGACCAGTGCTCACCAGGCCGGCCAGGGGCGTTGGGATCCGTCCTTCCGTCGAGCTCACAGTACGGTGCGGGAGTTCGCGGCAGTGTGGTTTGCTCTGGGGAGGATTCGGGTGGCCCGCGGATCGACGATTCGGCTCCATTCGGACTGCTCTCCGGTGGTTCATTGCCTGAACCGCGGGGGTTCGATGCGGTCCTTGTCTCTTTGGGGTTGGTCGCTTCGGGTGACTCGTCTGCTGAGTTCTCGGGGTTTGGCTCTCCTGGCGGTTCACGTACGGGGCGTGTCCAACGTCTTGGCCGACGCCCTGTCTCGCTTCGTTCCCCTCTCCACGGAGTGGACGGTCGACGACGAGTCCTTCCGTTGGCTTTGCCAGACGTTCGGGCGCCCCGAGGTGGACCTCTTCGCGTCGGCGTGGTCGCGGCGTCTTCCCGTTTATGCGGCGCCCTTCCCCGATTGCGAGGCCGTCGGGGTCGATGCCTTTCGGCTAGACTGGTCGAGGTGGGGGTTCCTGTACCTCTTTCCCCCGGTTCGGCTGTTGCTCCAGGTCCTGACTCGCTTAGAGACTTACCGGGGGAGAGTTGTCCTTCTGGCCCCTTGGTGGCCGGCCCAGCCTTGGTTTCAGGCGCTGGTTGCTCGGTGTCCGAACCCGAGGGTTTTCCCGCGGCTCCGCCTCTTTCAGCAGATCGGGCCGGTACGTCACGTAGCTGGTTCGATCTTCTCCTCGAGTCTTCGCGTATGGTTTTTTTGACTCGAGTCTATCATCATCTCTATGGTGATCAGGTGGCCTCCTTGTTGGTGTCCCACCTGAGGGCTTCTTCTCGGCGGCAGTATGAAGTTTCCTGGCGGTCCTTCCGTTTCTTTTTGCGTCTTCGTCGTGTTAGCTCCTTGTCTGTTCGGGTGGTCTTGTCCTTCCTCTCGTGGTTGTTTCAGGACCGTCATCTTATGCCTAACACTGTCGCTTCGTATCGTGCGGCGCTGGCGGAGCCGCTTCAGCTTGCTTTCGGTATCGATGTTACGTCTGCGCCGTTTCGCAAGCTGTCTCGTGCATTGTTTCACCTCCGGCCTGCTCATGCGTCGCCTGAGCCGTCCTGGTCTTTGGACAGAGTGCTCGCTTTCCTTTCATCTCCTCGTTTCGTTGTGGCCCCTTCGGTCCAGGATTGTTTTTCCAAGGCACTTTTCTTGTTGGCTTTGGCCTCTGGGGGTCGGGTAGGGGAGCTTCATGCTCTCCTCCGGCGCAGGGGTTTCTGCTCTTTTGGTCGTGGTGATAGTTTTGTTCGTTTGCAGCCGTCTCCTTCTTTTCTGGCGAAGAATGAGACTGCTGCGTTCCGGAGGGGTCCATGGGTGGTTGATGCTTGGTTGGTCAGGCCGGGGGTGCATCATGTTTTGTGTCCGGTTGCGGCGCTTCGCCGTTATTTGCGCGCCACAGCTTCTGTGTCCGGGGACGCGCTGTGGGTTGATCCGGTTTCCCTTCTTCCCTGTTCGCGGGTTCGGGTCTCTCAGGTCGTCCGCAGGGTTATTAGGTCCAGCCAGCCTGCGGTCTATCCCCGTGCCCATGACGTTCGTAAGTTCGCGGCTCTTGCTGCCGTCTTTGGGAATATGTCTTGGTCTGATATTCGGGCGCGGGGATTTTGGCGGTCGAACAGGGTCCTGGCTGCTCGTTACCTTGTGAATGTCCCTGGGCCTCGTCGGGCCTGTGTTGCTTTGGGTCGGCGGTTGCAGCCAGTTGTCTCGGCTTCGAGTTGAGGGGTGAGCGACGACCGCCTCCCGGGTAAGTCCCTCTTTTTCTGTCTGTGGGTAGTTAGCTCCGGGGAGCCGACGGGGCTCCCCCCAGAAAACCAGCGTTGAATGTAATGAAACGCCATTTTCTGGGTGAGTCCCGGAGGCTCCCCGGCATCCCTCCCTCCCTCCGGTCGGCGGTTTTTTCGCGTTTTTGACATCCAGCCTCAAGAACTGAGGTGTGGGTAGCCGGCGCGGGGGGTCTGGGGCTCCCCCTTCCCCCTCCCGGGGAGGGGGGAGCTGCGCAGACAGCGGCGCGGCAGTGTGTGACGTCACACTAGTTTGCTTGTTTTCGGTTGGGGAGTTCTATCCACTAGTTCGGTTTTTGGTAGCAATTTTAACCAGAATAGGGGTTTGTTTTGGGGCGCTTACCTTTCTGGGTGCCTGTTCCGGTCGATGGCAGACATAGAATGCTTCCAACTACACGGGGGCTTCTATAGGCCATTGCTCCCCTTGCCTCTCTGAGGGGGCCCGGTTCTGGCCGTGGTCCCCGGTAGGCCTAAGAACTCCATACACATGACTGATGCCAAAGTCTGACATTAGCATATCAGCCTGGGATAGCTCCGGGGAGCCTCCGGGACTCACCCAGAAAATGGCGTTTCATTACATTCAACGCTGGTTTTTTAGACAAAAATTTTGTTTTAAAATCTTTGATAGAGATAGAGATGGGCATCTTTCAAAAGATGAATTAACAGCTATGATGCAGGCTCTGCTACTCTTAAGAGACGAAGAACAAGATGATGATTCAGGTATGTTCAGGAGTGTTTTATATGCTTCCATTTCAGTGAAATGATATGGAACATTAACCTGATATTGTAAAACTAAATAAAACTAAGACAAGCCATTGGCATGATAATCATAATTTAACACAACTCCATTTCCTGCATTCACTTCCATATTTTATCATGTTTTCTCTGATGTGCTACATGTGCCTCTCTGGGTGGAGCCCCTTGTTGCTCACTAATGCTGATCTAGTGGTAAACACTGCATCAGTTGTGGTGTTGTTTTAGGTCTACCAGGGACCATGAGCCACAACCCGGCCCCCTCTAATGATCTGCACGGTGCAGTAGCACTCTTGTAAAACTGTCCGTCAATTTTAATCATGAAAACAAAATATATATATATATTTATTAATATAATTTTTATTATTTTTATTATTATTATTATTATTATTATTATTATTATTATTATTATTATTATTATTATACCGATTTTCTCATGTAGATATGTACATGTGAGGCTCTCATAACAATAGCTCTTGTCTTTAACAGATGATATCTGTGTGGGTGTTTCCCCAGACAGTGTCCAGAGACTAGTAAGAGAGTTGCTAGAAAACCACGATCCCAATAATTCAGGATTTGTCACACAAGAGGAGTATCTCATGTGGACACTGCACAATCCACTTTCTACAGCTTTACTGGATATTATATTCCAGGTTAGTTTTATCTGGATATCCCAGTTATTTTATTATTTTCTCAGTATTAAAAGAACAAAATTCCTTCCATTCATATACATGCTTGCATACATGTATTTGGTTTGGTTTTCTGATGTCAGGGACAAGAGACCTGCTAGACTTATTAAGGTTGCTTCCTCGGTAACAACTGTCCATTTTCCATAATGCAGTCCAGGTCAGTTGACTATCAGCTATCTCTTTACTGCTAGGTAAAGAGAGGCATCAGGTGTAATATATATATTTATATATATTAGTATATTTTGATAGCAGTCTTGTAAGCATATGTCGTTGAATATGACCGAAAGGGTAAGATTAATAATTCTAACACAAATCTTCTCAATATTTCTTACGTTTTTCTTCACTGTCGACGGTAATTGAAAAATTAACTCTCCAAAATTAATTTGTTACATTTATTATTTTTGGTCTGACGCCTAAAAGCGTTTTGTCAGGGGCCTCTTACATTTTCAAAGACTGGTTTACACATAAAATATATCATGCTTATATTCATTTTGGGTGAGGTGATATGTCACAAATGTTTTGGGTGAGGTGGGTGTAAATTGGGTATGAAAACATAAGAATGAAAGTAACTGCAGAAGGTCTATTGGCCCATACTTTATCTTGCTGCTTCTATCTTGGTTCGGGTCTTGAAGTGGGTAGAATATAGTTAAATATTCATTGTAGTTCACCTCACTTCACCTCACTATATATAGTGGAACCTCGGTTGATAACTGCCCTAGAGTACGAATTTTTTGGTACAAGACGTCAAATTCATTGTAAAATTTGAATTGGTGTATGACGGTTTACTTGGAAGACGACGTCTGTTCATACGTGTATGGGTCAAACGAGCTCGTGGTGCTGGGGGTGTGGGGGTGAGGCACTCTCAGTATGTTTACAATTCTATCCTGTGAAGTGATGACTGCAGCCGTGCTTGAATTCTTTGTGGAGAATTTCATTGTTTGCCTACTTTTTTTTTTAAGATAAAAGTTCTTATTATATATGATGCCAGGGTCCCAAGAAAGTCAGTGGTAAAGTTCAACCTAAGGAAATATTTGTGAGGATGATGATAAAGGAAAACCAAGAGATCATTTACGGTGAGACAATGTGATGTCTCACTTCAGACAAGTGTTACAACGTATGTAAAAAAGTGTTGCCAGACAGGTTTTTAATGAGAAAAACAAGCAGTAAGCCACAAGCCTTCCTGCATACCTAGTGGTATGCAGGCAAAACATACGAGAGAGAGAGAATAAATTGAATCATTGTAACATCTAAATTTTTTCTGTGGAGAGCCCCTTCAGCTCCTCGGAGCTGTACCGGGCTGATGTGTATATATTAGACCGTGGCAACAGTCAATCGATGGAGTTCTAGGCCTACCGGGGACCAGCGCCAGAACTTGGCCCCCTCAAGGAAGGCACGAAAAGCAGTGGCCTAAAGACCCTCCATGTAATTGGAAGCAGTCTTTGTCTGCCATCTACCAGGCCAGGCACCCAGAAAGGTAGGAATTCCAAAACAAACTACTACTGGTCAAAAATTGCAAACCAACAGCCGAACTAGCAAGCATGACGTCACCACAAACACTACACATCCGTCTATGCAACCCCTCCTTCCTCGGGAGGGGAGCAGGGGGTCCCAGACCTCCACGCCGGCTACTCTCCTCATTTCAGAAGGCTGTTGTGTTGGTGACGGTTGTCAACTCTGGCTCCACTCTTTGCGCAGTGCTGCTTAGCAGTGTTGTTACTTTGTGTTGGTGGTGTGCGAGCCAATTGCCATTCTTGAAAATAACATTTCATTACATTTAATGCTGCTACTTTACTTATAGAACATTAGTTTAAAATTTGAACAACAAATGCAGTGTTGTACAGTATTAATTTTTGTATATTTTCTGATCCCCTTTCTTTATAGAATTCATTGGCTCAAGATAATATTAAAACAGTGCCAAATTAGTCCACTTTAAAGCCTGGACATTATCGAACACAGTGCAGAGTTACAAACCCAATAAGATTTCAACTAAGATTCAATAGAGCAAAAGTTGTTAAACACATTGGGCATAATCTTACTGAGGCGAACATATGAGTCATAAATACTCATACTCCGCCTGAGTAAAACAGAAACAAGAAACAAGTAACACTTAGTGGGCCAGCCAGAGGCTTAGGTCCCGCACAGGAATATCTCTTACAAAAAAAAGAAGCAGCTATATATCATGTTTGCTATAAAGTATTTGATGGTTTTGCCCCTATGGTGGCCACTTTAGGAAATTAAGTATTTCTATATAATGTGTGTAAAAGTATCTGTTAATTTCTCAGGTGTGCCATATTGTGCTTGGTTTAAAGCCTAGTAGTCGTACAGAAGAAGGAGAGATTGTTGTTGGTTGGTTGCGGAGAGCAGAAACTAAGACTCTTACCATCGGGCAGTTTTGGTACATCATTAATATGGAATGGTGGAATCTTTGGCTGGAATATGTTAACCATCAGGTGAGATCAATTATATCATTTATGTCTGTTTTCATCTTGTAAAACATATTTGAATTAATATATTTTTTATGTTGTGTTATACAAAAAATTTGTGCAGTATGTTGTAAATGATCTTACTTTAGTACTTGTATTGTACCTCAGTCGCCTGGATCAGATAGCAGTTCTCTTAGTCCATCATCACACAGCAGTTCACCTGCTAGTTCTCAGTGTGGCTCTCTCAAACGTACCAAGCTACAGAAAAAATCTGCAAATTCAGAGGGAACTGTTGCTTCTGATGCAAGCAAGTAAGTGTTTATTTTTATTATGATTAGATATTTACTAATGTTTTCTGTGAAGAGCCCCTTCGGCTCCCGGATCCGAAGTGCATATATTAGACTGTGGCAACAGTCTATCGATGGCCCCCCTCATGCCCCCCCCTCATGCCCCCCCTCATGCCCCCCCCTCATGCCCCCCCCTCATGCCCCCCCCTCATGCCCCCCCCTCATGCCCCCCCCTCATGCCCCCCCCTCATGCCCCCCCTCATGCCCCCCCCTCATGCCCCCCCTCATGCCCCCCCTTATGCCCCCCCTCATGCCCCCCCTCATGCCCCCCCCCTCATGCCCCCCCCCTCATGGCCCTTCTCATGGCCCCCCCTCATGGCCCCCCTTCATGGCCCCCCTTCATGCCCCCCCCCCCCCCCTCAGATGAGACACGAGGAGCAATGGCCTATAGACACCACCCCCATGTAATTGGAAGCAGTCTATGTCTGCCATCTACCAGGTCAGGAACCCAGAAAAATAGGAATTCCAAAACAATCTACAGTTGGCTAAAAAATTGAAAATCGAATGCTGAACTAGCAAACAGAACTTCCCAATCGAAAACAAGCAAACAAACATGACACCTCCACATTCACCGTGTGCTCGTCTGTACAACTCCACCCTTCCCAAGAGGGGGACGGGGGGTCCCCAGACCTCCGCGCTGGCTACTCCACTTCAGTTTAGAAGGCTGTTGTCTTGGTGATGGTCGATCGACTCTGGCTCCATTCTTGTGAGTAGTGCTGCACAGTGGTATTGCTCTTCTGTGTTGGTGGTTTGCGAGCCAGAAGTAACACAAGAGTACTTTGGCTGCATGCACCTAGGGTCACCTTCGCTAGGTGCCCTGTAAGCACTGCCCCTGCGGTTTACAGTTAACTTCCATGAGCCATTCGGGATGCTACCTCCGCGTGGTTCTGTTGCTGCTTGGTGATTGCCCGCCCTTCGGGTTCAGCTGAGGTGGTTCTTGTTTGGCCTTGGGTAGGAAGTAGTATCGTCGCTGGCTGGGGTGCGAGATACTGTGCTGCTGTCTGAGATACATATAGCAACCAGTTCTGTTTCTCTGGCGATGTGCTTTTGTGGGGTTTTTCTTTTGTTTCCTTTTGTTTTGCCTGGTGGGGGGTCTGCCTAGTGTGGCTGTAGGACCACTTGTTATGATTTTGGTGGCCCTCTGCTAGGTCCCTGTGGGCCTGCGGGCCACTCCAATCAACTGCCTGTCAGACCAAGTGCTGACAGGTCAAGCCTGGTCCTGAGTTTGGGGAGTAGAAGAAATTCCAGAACCTTATCCTGGTACAATCCAGGTCATGGTAGTGGGTATAGTGACCTGCTAGGACAACAGGATGTTTGAGAGAATGTTAATGGACAGTCCTTGCATTGCCAATTAGTCTTTAGATGGGCTTGAATTTTTTGTTTTGTACTTTCCTTGCAGTAATTCTAGGATGGATTGAGTATTCTCCAGTGTCTCCCTAGCACCTGCTATGATCCAGTAGGAATATTTTTTGGGGAGATCCCTCTTCTGCCAGAACAGGTTGTTGACCGGCCATTGTCGTATAAAGTATTAACTTGTCACTGGGGCAAGAAGGATCTTAAATTAAGGAGCAACCAAATGCATAGCTCAGAATGAATGTTAGACTACTATATCTTTAAAATTAGCTAGTGATTGTTTTATTAACTGCCCTTAAATTCTTTTTATTAACCAAAATTTTGCTTTGTTTTCAGTACTGTAATTTTATTTTTGTTTTATTTTACTGTATTTTATTTTCAGTTTTTAATGCTATCATGTATTGTTGGCAATTATTGAAATACTGTATTTAGTAACTGAATTCAGCACTTACTTTTTTTCAGTAGTGTGCTAGTCACCAGTATAGCCAGCTTAGGAGGTGCAGATTCTATTTCTTTAACAAGCTTAGAAAGTGATGGATCTGGCCGCTTAGATCAATCAGGGTCTCGGCAGGGAACACTCCAGCGTCACGGCCAGTCTGCATCCAGCCCACGTAAAAATTTCAGTTCAAGCAATCTTTCGGTTCATAATTATGAAGCTAACAGGTAAACAAAAGATGACTTTTTATTTGCAAATCTTCTTTATTATATAATGCTATATTAGGTGTATATCAGTGTCACATGTTTGTCCTGTATGACAGTGTCTGATGTAGAGCCTCCTCCACACATCATGCTCAAGTATATTACTTATGCCACTAATATGAAGTCAAGACATTTCTCATACAGTATATTCAGTCTTTATATCATAACTTTAAGGCTTATCAAGTGTTTGTTGTCACTTAAGTATAGTATACTGCATTAACATGTATTCACTAGCCCTGTATTTAATTGAATGTATTTATTTATACAGTTGAATGGGCCATCACTGTTTATGTGGGATAAGTTGGTGAGACACCTGTCAGTTGTAAAACTGTAAATGCTAATGCTAAGGTCTTAAGGGATGAAGATGGAAGGGGGGGACAGGATTACTAACACAAAAGTAACCACCATTTGAAAAGAAATGGTGAAAAGTAAAAAAGAAAAGAGATTTGAGGTAAGAATGGAAGAAACAAGTGATGAATATGTGTGGGTGTGCATGGATGAGAGAGAGTACTGAACACTGAAAGGCTTGACAGTGAAATCCTTAGAATGCTTAAAGAAGCTGGTGATAATTGAATTATGGGTAATGTTCCAGAGAGATTTGAGAAAGACACGTGAACCAGTGTAATGTTTGCTAACACAGAGAACACCTTTGTTTTTGACTAGCCAAAGAATGTTACCTGATGGAGGTGAGGAAGAGCAAATGGCACGAGAACAGTTATGAATGATGCAATATTTCCAATTGTAGATAAGAGACAAGATATTTATTCAGGTAAAGGTACATACGTTGAAAATGAGTTACAAACATAATGTCGGATCAATAGATAGCGCTAGTACATGCAATGCCTGAAGCAACTAATACACACAGCATTTTTCAGCCAGGCAGTAAAGTCTTGGTGGCAGGGACCTCAACTGAGGTAGACCTATTGAGTGAAGGTCTCTCAAACAACATTAATTATAGATCTGAACAGAGGGTCCCGAACTGCCACTAGAATTAATATTTAATTTTAGTTTGACAACATAACTACGATGTCTTTTCTTGGGGAAGCCCCTTCGGCTCCCCAGACCTAACCGGGCTGATATGAATGTATTAGACTGTGGCATCAGTCAATGCACATGGAGTTCTAGGCCTACCAGGTACCATGAGCCAGAACCTTTCCTCCCCCCCCCTCAGTGAGGCACGAGGAGCAATGACCCATAGAAACCCCCGTGTGGTTGGAAGCATTCTATATTTGCCAACGGCCAGGTCAGGCATCCAGAAAGGTAAGCGCCCCAAAACAAACCCCTATTCTGGTTAAAATATTGCTACCGAAAGCCGAACTAGTGGACAGAACTCCCCAATTGAAAACGAGTAAACAAGCATGACATCACCACGCTGCTGTCTGCACAACCCCCACCCCTCCCCAGAAGGGGGAAGCCCCAGAGATCTGTGCTGGCTGGCTATCCACCCTGCAGTTCTGTGGCTGATGTGAACTGGCAGGGTTGTGTGCCTCTGGGTCCTGTACTCACCTAATTGTGAGTATAATCTCCCATCCTGTGTTTCCAGTTGTGTGTCTTGTGGTGTGGTACTGCCTTAGTAGTGGTGCACAAGCCATGAGTTATTTCACAAGTACTCGGGCTGCATATGTTTAGGGTCCCCTTTCCTAGGTACCCTGTAAGTGGTGCCCTTGGGGCATGGGGCCAGACTATTCCCACTTACAAAGTTGGGTGAGGCTAGCCCCTAGCAACTGGTCTTTAACTTTTGACAGACACTGACAGACAGACATTTTCTCCTTTAGTATAGATACATGTTACATTATTTATAATTTATATGATGTGATATACTTTTGATGATTTTAGAAAATTCTCTTGTAGCTTACCGTCTGTTCAGCATTCATGAAATTTCAATAGGTGCAGTAGCACATCGAGTCCAAGTCACTCCCCTCGTCTGACTCGCCGTGCAGCCACCAGTCCAGGACCACTGCTTGTCCCATCACGACCACCTGCTATTGACAATTCTCCTCTAGTGGAGCCAAACACATCGAAAGTAAGTGAAGCTTAGACATTATAGTTTCTAATTTAAGGCATAGTTACCAAACAGGTCTCTCAACTTAACATTACTGGAAGGAGGAGCCATTTCTAACCTAACCACAGCTCCTGAAAAAATATTAGAAAGTTTACTTTTGCAAACATTTGGAACAAGTTAAGTGAGATGGTGGTGGTGGATGGCAAAACAGTAGTTTCAAAACATCATATGACAAAGAATACTGGGAAGATGGGACATTGCAAGTGTAGCTCTCATCCTATAACTACTCGTAGGTAATTATACCCCAAATCACAACCAAATAGAATGCCCCAATTAAGGACCTCAGAGTGACTACCTACCTGTTGATTATGTGTTGAAGGTTCCCTGCGGCCCGGTCTCTGACCAGGCCTCCTGGTTGCTGGTCTGATCCACCAGGCTGTTTGATGTAGCTGCTCGCAACCTAACTATGAGTCAATGAATCATGTACTGTACTTTCCAAAGCAAGACTTTCAACTTGGTGGCCAGGCCTCTCAGGCAAACTCTTGTATACACCAGAGTAGTAACTCAAAAAGCACCTAAAGAAGGGTCACCCTGGGCACATGCAGCTTGAAGCGAACAATATGCTAAGTCCACACTAGAATGCTGGTAGATAAACATAGGCATATGAAACAAATAATAAAAATATAGAACGTTTGACAAGGAAATAGCCCACACAAGACAAAGTCCAAAGGATGACGAGCACTTAGTTGAAAATGAAGAGGGACCCTACGATGAGGCGACCTGGGAAGCTTCTTCATAGATCACCACCAGTGACAGGAGTGACCAGTAGTCAACTGCTAGTCAGGGTCACTTGGTGGGAGCCATTTGCACTAAGGGGTTTGAACTAGTTTTGAGTTAACCAATTGTTTTGAATAAATCATTTATGGAGTGTAATGGCTGTTTTTATGCATCTTTTCTATGAACCTTGCAATTGTTTATATTGCATCACTGACTGGATGCTTTCCTGGTGTGGGTAATTGTAACAATCTCTAGCTCATACCTCTTTGAAGGGGCCAAGTTCTGGCTTTGGTTCCCAGTGAGCCAACAGGGTTCATATGACTTGTGTGACAAAGTAAGGGGTAGCTACTACTCGATCCTTCAGGGAGCTTCAGGGGAGCCACCAATGGGCTCTTCCATAAATGTGTGTTTGTCTGTCCAAGGTAGGAACCCAAGTGCTTGGGGCTAGTCTCGCCCAACTTTGCAGGATGACTGATAGATGGTAGGGGACTGTCATAGGTGGGTCAACGTTGGCCTAATTGCTCCTTTATAATAAAAAAAGGTTGACTCATATTGTGATCTCAGGGAGTCCCCCATGAAGTTTGAAATAGTTATTTTTTTCCCACAGTTTTTCAGCTGTTCATGATGTTATATATTGACATGCAAAATGCATGTTCTGATGGCAGATTTACTTTCTGGAGGCTTTCTATACTTAAAATAGCCCAAACGTTCGGTGGTCAGCCTTGGTAACAACAGGTACCCCATTTAGTACCCGTTTACAATATATGGTACCTTAGGGAATTACTGGGATTTTGTTTCTAAAATGGTAGTCTTGCAAAGCCCTTAACACACTCGGGCATTATTTTTTTTGCAGATTGTTATATAATTAAATTATAATGTTTGCTTTGAACCATATATATAAATTGTGCACTATTTAGTTGCCAGTGACAGCTCTAAGCAAATTGTTAGATGGATGTGTACATTACTAATTAAAATTTTAGATGTGGACCACATTGTCAGCTGTACTGTATTCTGCTGTAACAATTTTGGTGTTAAGAAATAATGACTAGATTTGCTTGCTTTGAATTTATAGCTGCTGAGCTAATGAGTTGAGTTTATCTGTTAAGATGTGGTACAGTATTTGTTGATGTAGATTTTATGGATGTTGTTTAAAGTATGTAGTGTATAATTTGAACTATTATTACACTCTATTGTCTGTTGGTTTACTATTAGTTATTTAGTATGTATTTGACATGTGTTTTGCAGGTAATGCTTTTAACGGGCGAGGGCGGACGTTTAAAGCGAAGTGTTCCCCTTGTTGAGCGTCGCGACTTTGTGCTGGTCCCTGACTCACTGTGGAAGGCTCTTCAGCAGTGGTATGGAGGAGCACCTGCCCTTCCTAGGCAGGTGAGGCTCAAAAGAAAATGTTATTTACTCCTTAAGTCAAATACACGTATTGAGGTGTGCTAGTAGACTACGTACGTACGATGTGACGTCATTTGCCTAGATCGGTGTGTCTTAGATGGTGTCCATTTAACTCTGTGATTCCCAAATGATTTTGTACTTCTGCCCCTTGGTTCTATGAACTCATTTTTAGTGCCTTCTACTCTATTTAGTACCTTCAGTGGGGTTATTATGATCTATTTTTAAACCAGAAAATAGTGTTAAATTTTGTCTTCTCGTAAACCAATCCAGCCATATAAATTTGGCTTTTATGTGAATTGAACCCAGAGCCTCAGACTTAACAGACTGGTAGCATTAATATATTTCCACACAATATGATCCATCAACTTCAGTGTGTGCTCCAGAAAGCAAACATGGTATACCAGGTTTACATGCCCAGTGAAGGATGTCATATTCAATCTACTTACATTGGTATGACCACCACAAAGTTTTGTGAAGACTGACCTGCCATCTACAAGCTGGTGCCCCTAGAAACCATATGCTTAATATAAATGCCCAGTATTTATTTATATAAATATTTATATGTGCCTAAGTCTTAGTTGCATATAACACATTTTATATACAAATATATACATGAATATCATTAATTTGATGTTTTTATTGATACTGGAGTGTGATAGTGAAACAATTGAGTTGCAGAATGCAGCACCTTGTCACTGTTATTGCTCCATATAGTGTTATGTTGGGTATAAATAGACGCTGCCTCACATGGGTGAATAGGGCTTTATAGTTTATTTTTGTTCTTGTGTTAGATGTAGGAGCTACCTCATGTGAATATATAGGCTTTCTACAGTTTCCTATTTTTTTATGTTCTTATGCTGGATGTAAATAAGACATGTTTCAAATGGGCCAATACATCATCTGCAATTTCTTTTATTCCTATTTTCTTATGTTGGGTATAAATTGAACCTGCCTCACGTAGGCCAAAAGAACCTTATACTATTAACCTTATCCCTACATTTTTATGTTAACACATTTTCAGCAGAATCGAATAATGCTGCAACAAATATTCCCCAATTGTCAACTAGAAGTATACGTGACACGTGCAGCATCGTGTCGGTCACCACCCACATGCTCACTCACTCTTACCTTACTGTTAGAGCAGCTTATTTCATATTCTTATTGGTAATATTCAAGTTAAATACTTGTAATATATTCCTCCTCATCCCCCTAAGATCTTTCAGGTCCTTCATAGCCCGTGTAATTTTGCATAGCGTCAGTGGCCTCTAATATGGTTGTTCTGGCCGTTTAACCACTGGGTGGTCGTGTGCTAGATATTGTATGCATCTTTTTACTAAGGCCTTGAAGGAAGCTAAGGCTTTCAGGATTTCTGCAACATGGCCAATAATTGGTTGATGTTTGTAGTTGTGATTGACATTTCCTTAGCAGTGTTACTTTTAAATATTATTGGTCACTTAAAATTGCCTGAGACAATTCACACAACAGGGCCATTTACTTGAAAAAGACAGAGCAGTTTAAGAGTTCAACAAGACGTTACACACTGAATGTCATAAATATTTTCACATTGTTCTTTTATTGCGGATAAACATGCACACACTTCGTGCAACTTTTAGGCATTAGAATACTGTACTTGTTTATAATGATTACAATTTTAGCTTTGGTCACTAACAGGTTATTCATGGACGCTCTAGTGGAGAAGTAGAATTAGAGTTATACCCTCTAACTCTCCGGTTGTTCCGCCATGTTCAGCAGCAGTCCAGAACACCAAACAATTCCTGGGTTGGAGTTGTAGGTGGTTATGGGGCTGCAGCCTTAAGTAAGTTTGCTCAATATTAAATTGTCCTCAGCCTCCACTGTACTGTATTTGAAATAAAATGTTTCTTATTGTAATGTTTATTATGGAGGAATCTTCAGATATTCTCTACTCTTATCATTTGCAAATTACAAATTGATGAAAGATGACAAAAGTATTATTGTACGTTTCTGATCTTTATTCATCTTTTAAATTTCTTCAGATTCAGCTCCATATTATGTGACATCTTTACCAAATTCCACGTCATCCCCAAAAAGATATTTGGCATATCTAGCAGCGTTTAGTCGTTTGGCCACTTTACGGCAGGTATATGATTATTTAGCTACAAAGTTGCGATTGCGTCTTGAGGATATAAGATTGTGGTATGTGCGTGATGAGGTAAGGAATAAAATGTCGGCTTCTGTATTTTTATTTGTTGAACTCTATCTTTAATGCTGACAAGATGATTTAGATTTTAATATAAAATACTAAGTCTGTTTTATGATATTCTATGCATCCTTAATTTCCTCCTGCAATAACTTGATCATTATCATCATTATAAGTCAGTAATTGAAGATGTTCTCCCATCTTGAACTGAATTTTGTCTTGAATTGATATTTCTTTTATTATACATGTTCTAGTTTTTAAATGTCCTTTAATTTGATTAAGTCTAATTTAATAATTCTTGTATGACATGAGTTTCATGTAGTCTGGATTTGAATTGGTGAATTTGAGTTTCAATAGCCAACACATGTACCTCAGATATAGCAGTTAAGAGTTCTTGGGATATTTATGTAAACAGATCCGCCATGTAATTTTCTATTGGAATAAGTACTGATAAGAAAAATTAAGATAAAATTTTTTAAGTAAATAATTGAAAAAGTAAATAACAATATGGGAGCTTAAACTCTAAAGTGTGGCTATGGAAATGCAAGCATGTCTGTCCAGACACACAAAAAAATAAAAAAATAATACAAAAATAATGGAATCCATATATGATGATGACCAAACTATTAAGGTTAAATCAGGATAGTTGCTTCGTTATTTTATTAAAATTGCATGGAAAATGTTTTAAGTAGCACCATGGAAATTGTTTAACAAAGAGCTTTTACAATATTGGAATATTGTTTGACTATTATTGACTAATCTGCAGCCTACTGGCATGATTTTGTTGGAAGAGGAAGATACTACCTTAGAGGAAGTTGGTGTGGCTGACCTTGCTCATGTATTAATTGAAGTCAGGAATAAGGACCTCACATGGCCAGAAGAAATGAGCCAAATTGCTTCTACTAGATTGATGCGTACACAATCCAGCCAAGGTTTGTATTATATGTTACATTTTAGATACTGTACTTTGTTGGGAATACCTTTTTCTGTGGTAAGGCTCCTCATCTCCCTGAAGCTATCTTACTGATTAAGTGCCTTACTACTTGGAGTCATCAGTCACAGTTCTTCTTGCCAACCGGGGACCACGAGCCAAAATCTGTACCCCTCGGAGAAGTGCAGGGATCAATGGCCCATGAATACTTTACATTTTAAGTTTATCATCTTGTCATCAAGCAGGGAAGGCACCCATAAAGGAAGATGAATCAAAACAGACTACTGCATGGTTGAAAAATGAGACAAGTGCCCTCAAAAAGTCAAAAGAACTCCCCCAACAAAAAAACAAAAGACCAGAACTTTGCCAAGCCAGTCCCCTGCTAGTTAGCTCCACCTCCCCTTCGTTGGGAAAAGTGGGGAGCAACGCTGGTCAGTTTTTGACTGATGTTCGTGCCTGGTGGTCATCGGTGCACTCAGGCTTCAATCTCCTATTTCGAGTGGTGTTTTGCCTTTTAGGCTGTTCCTACATGAGTGTGTGTATAAGCCAGGAGTCTGGTGTACTGGAGATGCATGTGCTCAGGGTTATCTTCTCTGTGTGCTCTGCAAGTACTACACTTGTGTGGTTGGGGTTACCTTCCCTGGGGTGATGGGGAAACACTCCCATCAGGGGGCTTCCTCGCTTGTGGTGGACCTTGCCCTTAGGGTAAGCTGGTAGTCTTGGGCTTTTTGTCTTGCCCTGGGTTTGGGAGTGTTTTTGGAGAGCCCTTTCAGCTCCCCGGAGCTTTACCAGGCTGATGTGTATATATTAGACCGTGGCAACAGTCAATCGATGGAGTTCTAGGCCTGCCGGGGACCAGCGCCAGAACTTGGCCGCCTCAAATGAGGCACGAAGAGCAATGGCCTATAGACACCCCCATGTAATTGGAAACAGTCTGTCTGTCATCTACCAGGTCAGGCACCCAGAAAGGTAGGAATTCCAAAACAAACTACAGCTGGTTAAAATTTGCAAATGTACAGCCGTACTAGCAAGCAGAACTCCCCAATCAAAAACAAGCATGACGTCACCACAGCCGCTGCGCCACTGTCTGCGCAAATCCCCCTTTCCTGGGAGGGGGGGGGAAGGGGGGGGGGAAGGGGGGGGTCCCAGACCTCCCGCACCGGCTACCCAACCCCAGTTCACAGGCTGTTGTGTTTGGTGGCGGTTGATCGACTCTGGCTTCATCCTTTTGAGCAGTGCTGTCCATAGCAGTGTTGTTCTACTGTATGGTGGTGCAAGAGCCAGGAGTAACACAAGAGTATTGGGCTGCATGCATCTAGGGCCACTTTTCCTAGGGGCTCTGTTAGTACTGCCCTTGTGGTTTAGGGTTAACTTCCATGAGCCGTTTGAGAGACTACCTCCGCCTGGTTGTTTTGCGACTCTGTGATTGCCCACACTTGGGGTTCAACTGGGGTTGTTCTTACTCCTGTTTGACCTTGGATAGGAGGTAGTATCATTGCTGGCTGGGGCGCAAGGTACTGTACATCTGTCTGATATATGCATAGCGACCGGTTGTGTTTTCCTGGGGACGTTGTGCTTTTGAGGGTTTTTTGTTTTTTGTTTTGCCTGGTGTGGCTGTAGGATCACTTGTATGATTTTGGTGGCCCTTCTCCAGGTTTTCAGTGATTGAACACATCGCAAGGGTTCAGCTTTTAGTTTGTTTGCTTGGTAGCTCTGGGATAACCAGTTAGCAATACCTTGCCTGGGCTTCCTTTAGTAGTCAGCCAAAGGGCCCTGGGAACCCCCATTGGGGCACATTGGTCCGATGGAGGAGACCTCCGAGTCCAACCTTGCGTTGGTCACATTTTTTCAACCAGGCAGTAGTCTGTTTTAATTCACCTTCCTTTCTGGTCAATGGCAAGATGACAAACTTTAAATGTGGTGTGTTCATGGGCAGTTGCTTCCCTGCCCCTCTCTGAGGGGTCCAGGTTCTGGCTCCTGGTCACCGGTAGACAACAAGAACTCTGCGATTGATGGTAACAAGTGGTATGGCACTTAATCAATATGGATAGCTTCGGGAAGCCTCCAGGGCTCACCCAGAAACTGGCATTTCATTACATTCAATGCTGGATTTTTACTATAAGCTTGTAGAGTTTATGAATTATGTTTAAATGAAATGCATTTTATTACAGTATATTTTTATTCTACTGGTAATTCTGATTAACATCTTTTGGTTTTCTTTTGTGGCAGGTGTCAAAGAGAAAGGGGTGACAGGACTGAATAACCTGGGCAACACATGTTTCCTTAATGCAGCCCTTCAGTGCTGCTCAAATACACATCCTCTCACCACATACTTCATCAACAATATGCACCTGTATGAGCTCAATCCAGACAATCCTTGTGGGATGAAAGGCCATATGGCAAGACAATATGGAAATCTAATGCAGGAGCTGTGGGGTGGTGGCGCAAGAACTGTAGCTCCACTTAAATTAAGGGTTTGTTATTGAATTTTAGTAGTGTACTTTCCTTATATGGTGTCTTAAGTAAACAAATATATATATATATATATATTGTGCTGTTAATAGTAACAATATATATATACTGTAGATCTATTTACAATACAATGTGTTTCTGTGATGTGCTTACTAATCAGTGCCTCTGGGGAGCAAAATCTAGCTCTTTGTGCTCTGCTTCTTAACCATTTATCCCCGGCATACTAATTATCTCTCTCAACGTTATAGCACTCGCCATATTTTTTCCTTAAAATTGTGCATGGGCTTGACTTCACCAAGCTATTCCTTAAATGTAACCCACTTGCCGACTGCCCGTACATGGAATGAAAACTTTCTTAACATCTCTATAACTCGGTTGTGCATCCAGCTTCTACTGATGTCCCCTTTTCCTGCTTCCTTTGTCCACTTTGTCTATTTCCCTCAGGATTTTGTATGTATTGATCATATCACATGTTTCTTCTCCTCTATAAGGTTGTGAGGGTGAGTTTCCTCAACCTGTCCTCATAGTTGAGCTCTCTCAGTTGTCACTAATCTAGTTGCAAGCATCTGAACTCAAGTAATGATCTCACATAGTTTGTGTATGAACTTTAAAACCTCTTTGTTTAGATTCTTTAATAATAATATGTTTGCTAACTTTCTGTATGCTGCTGATACTTCACAGACGCACACTGTAACTTCTACTAAGCCAAGGAAAGTGAATGCAAATTGGCAAAGGTGACATTATATATTTCATGTTGGATGAAGTGAGGGAAGATGTTACCCATCTACCCAGTTTGAGGGAGATTACTTTTCCTTGAGATGATTTTGGGACTTAGCATCCCCGCGGCCCAGTTCTCGACCAGTCCTCCTCATTGCTGGACTGGTCAACCAGGCTGTTGGACGCAGCCTGACGTATGAGTCACAGCCTGGTTGATCAGGGACTGGGTAACCTTACCCAACATTCTCACTGATGAGCTGGACGGTAGGTGTAATGTGAACAGGCTGATCTGCCTTGGTCATATAGATGGTAGAATATATCTAAGTACAATATAATTGTTAATCCTCTAACTGGGCAGGTTATTTTGATGGATTCAGGTATGCGTCTCCCTTTAAACACAAGGAGTATAACTAGCCGACCTCCTATGGTGTTCAAGAGAGATCTTAATAAACACCTCCACCAGGTTTTGGAGGTGGAAGTTGCAGAGACCAGGCTGTGGAGACAGTTATTCCTGTAACCACTACAAGGTAACCGCAAAGTAGCAACAAATGCCACTCCTATTGCACCCTATGTCACTATCCCCCTAGAAATGGCAGGTTTTTTTTTAATAAAATTTAGCATCTTAGGTCATCTCCAGTCAATGGGAGCATATAAGCTAATCAATTAAGAGCGATCGGTGCAGCGTAAAGGTTAATAGTGGATGAGTGAACAGTATTTGATGTGTAGTACTCCAACTATGTCTTATCTGCTACTGTTATTGTGTGTCTGAATTGTTTCAGTGATGCTGATCAGAATATCTTAGATGATGGTCTTGCCGTATGTATAAATTATGTGATCTTTGAGATAGCCTTGTTTTGTGCATTGTTGGGTGCCTTGAAGGAGATGCCTTCTTGCCTATGTGTTGAGGCTGGCAATCCCCCAAGTGGACATGTCTGGACCATACATCATATAATAGACATAGAAAACATTAATTTCTATAAGAGCATTTCATAAGCACACAGTGTGCTCAGTAATCGGTACACCCTTTTGGTTATACTCCTCTGCCTCCTGTTGCCATATGTACCGGATGATTCAAATGTGCCTTGTTTCACTCCTTGTTATCGATTTATTTAGTATCTTCTTCACCAAGCATGTACATGTTATCTTGCTTTATTCACTTTAGCTGACACACCAACCTCCTCCTCCTGTTTTTGTTGCAACTGGTCCCTGCTCCCCATTTTGAGTGCTTGCTGTTGCCTGGCACTCCTTATTCCCACTGGGTCTTTCCTAGGAACTTTTTCTCTTCATTGGCACTATTTCTTTGCTCTTTCCTCCTGTTTCCATTTGTTCTATCCTTCAAATCTACTTACACTTCTTCTTTGGTGTTTTTCTGTGTGTCTGTCTCTCTTTGTTTGTTTTTCTGTCTCTTCCTGAATGTAAGAGAGAAAAGTATGTATGACATGTTCAGGGATGTTTAATGTCATTTGTAAGCATATAGTTATATGTAAGCATAAATATTTTGTCTACAAAAACTAGGTTCCCTACAATATAACATATCTAATGATGATGTTTTTTTAACAGTGGACAATAGGAAAGTACAGTGGAAACTTCACTGGATTTCAACAACATGACTCCCAGGAGCTGCTGGCTTTCCTTCTTGATGGTTTACATGAAGACCTAAATAGAGTTCATAACAAGCCATATATTGAACTCAAGGACTCGGAGGGACGTCCCGATACACTAGTTGCCCAAGAGGTTAGTTTGTACTTGTCCGTTCTTAATATTAACAAAATGAACATAATAGTAACCCCTTTCCAAGATGTTTTAATCCATTCTCATTTTGATTCAAGATTTAGTCATTGAAAAACTTTTCTTATAAATTTTCTTACTAAATTATTTCCTACATCTAATGATTTGGAATAAAGTCGGGAAGATTCCAAGGCGGCATCCTGTTTCTAGCATGACTGGTTAGTTCCTTACACTTCCGGTCACACCAGACCCTTGCAAATCAATAAAAGCAGAATAGCAGAAAGGTAGGACGAGACAAACAGACGGCAGCAAGGCTAGTAGACAACTTTACAAATGATCCACCCAGTAGTTTGGTTAGTCATCCTCTAGTTCCAGCTGCCTACCACTAGGTGGCAGCACAGCTCATGGATCAGTCAGTGGGCCACCTAAGCAAATCACCTAGTGTGACAGTAATCTTTATGGCTCTCCTAGTCGCCGCTATGCCTTTGGAGTCCTGGTTTTTCCAGATAAGTGCTGGCCATCCTTTAGGCTTAGTTATGTGGGGCATATTTCCTTGTGTATTTTTCCAATTTGTACTATTTGCTTCATGAGCCTGTGTTTACAAGCCTCATTTGTGTTGTGGATTTTGGCTAATTGTTTATCTCAAGCTGCATGTGTCTTGGGTTACCTTCCCTAGGTGCTCGCTGGTGTTGCTTCTGCCCTAACAGGGTTTTGCCTTCTCTGGTAATTACCCAAGTGCAGTTACAGGATGAGAGCTATGCCAGTGGTGTCCCTTCTTCCCAGTACTCTTTGTCGTATGATGCTTCTCACTACTGATAGTTTTGGCCTCCACTCCCTTCTCACTTAACTTGTTCCAACCATCTATCACTGTTTGCAAAAGAAAACGTAATAATATTTTTGCGGTGCCTTTGTTTCCTAAGCATGAATCTATGACATGTTCTTGAAGTTCCTTGTTTCAAGAATTCTTATTTATCAATTTTGTTTATTCTCATTACTATTTTGTATGTAGTGATCATATCACCTGTTTCTTCTATCTTCTAGGTTTGACATATTTTACTTCTTCTTTATGTAGTTCTTGTTTTTTAGTTTCAAAAATTTGTTTCTCTCTTCTCCTCGGTTTGTAGTGGCTCCTTCAGTATTGTTTTTACCAAGGAAGCTTTCACCATTCAGATTTCTTTTTGTTGTGATCCATTGCTTCATCCTTCCTCTTAGTAACTTTTGCTTAAAATCTCTATCATATATTTATCTTTCTTAACTGCAAACTTCAGTTACTGCATCAAAATTTATCTAGAGAGCTTTATTTTCCCTCTTCCATTCAGTCTCTGGTTTGGCCATTACCTGTTGTTATAATTCTCACCTTGGCAGCACTCGGCTTCATTTTAACCATACTGTATTATTCTACAGCTTTTGTAGTTGCAATAACTAGCTTTTATTAAAACATATTTTTTTAATTTTTATTAATGAGAAGTTTCCTTTGTGCTTACAGGCTTGGGAGAATCATATTCTACGCAACAAATCCATAATTGTTGATCTCTTTCATGGCCAGTTGAAGAGTAAAGTTACTTGTCGGGTGTGCAGCAATGAAAGTGCAAGATTTGATCCATTTACATACCTAACATTACAGCTGCCCATGGAGAGTTTTGTATATTTGGAAGTTATAGGTAAGCAGTCTTATATTTGGTAAATGTGTGTAACACAGGTCTATGTATATTTATAAAATATAAACAAAACTAAAGGCCATTACAGGTTTTACCTCATAATGGTAAATATGAGAGGAGTCAAGATGCTGATTGTCGATGATAGACATTATATTACTGATGCCTGTAGAGGACGACTGTGGGTGCTCTTGCCCACTGTCATAATGAGTGACACTCAAGCATGGCTTGATGGCACTCGTGACACTCAAGCATGGCTTGATGGCACTCGTGACACTCAAGCATGGCTTGATGGCACTCGTGACACTCAAGCATGGCTTGATGGCACTCGTGACACTCAAGCACGGCTTGATGGCACTCGTGACACTCAAGAATGGCTTGATGGCACTCGTGACACTCAAGCATGGCTTGATGGCACTCGTGACACTCAAGCACGGTTTGATGGCACTCGTGACACTCAAGCACGGCTTGATGGCACTCGTGACACTCAAGCACGGCTTGGTGGCACTCGTGACACTCAAGCACGGCTTGATGGCACTCGTGACACTCAAGCACGGCTTGGTGGCACTCGTGACACTCAAGCACGGCTTGGTGGCACTCGTGACACTCAAGCATGGCTTGATGGCACTCGTGACACTCAAGCATGGCTTGATGGCACTCGTGACACTCAAGCATGGCTTGATGGCACTCGTGACACTCAAGCATGGCTTGATGGCACTCGTGACACTCAAGCACGGCTTGATGGCACTCGTGACTCAAGCACGGCTTGATGGCACTCGTGACACTCAAGCATGGCTTGATGGCACTCGTGACACTCAAGCATGGCTTGATGGCACTCATTATCTGAGTCTTGAACTTTTCACCCAATCCTAAGTGCTGCTCATTGTAATGTAGTTGGTAATGTAGTGACAGGTTTCACTATCTCTGCACTTGTGGCCACATAATGGCAGTAACTTGAGATGAATAACATTCAGGGATGAGAGATTAATATTGCCAAAATTGTATATATTGGCATCCTTTATAACATGATCTGTTGCACATGGAAACATTTGAGGGATCCTTATATTAATTTATTTCATCCTAACATCTGTGGAGCTGTTCACAGCAAGAGACCAGTGATGCTAACTTAGCTGAAACAGCACACACACAAGGGGCATAACTTCTTGACAGCAGCAGTTTTACGTGTAAACAATTATGTTGAATAGTTTGCCATATTTTTTCTGAAATTCTGTTTTAAAATGCTTCAAATTCGATATACTGTAGTTAAGATTTATATAGTATAATAGCATACTGCTAATGCATTGTGCCATAATAATTGTCTTAATCATTGGCATAATCATCCCTTCAAAAGTCAATATCCAGCATATATAACTTAGCACTCATTTGTTCCTGAATACTTAATCCTTAATTGTAGCAGTGTACATGGTGTTACCAGGTACAGCAGAGCTGCACCAACTGCTTGTCCTGCCAAATGCAACTGTGAGTTGTTGTATGGGAATATTGAGGGACAAATGCCCTTATCTTCAACTTACAAGCCCTTATCTTCAACTTGCATGCCCTTATCTTCGATTGCTTGTGCCTGCAGAGTGCCTAATAGATGAAGTTCATCTAGCCACCAGGCATATTTGTGTGGTGAAATGGTGTGCACTTTCTTTCATTCTTCCACAAATCCTTACATTTGAAGATACAAATGTAGGGTTTACAGACATTTTCCCATATACTGGTGAGAACATGAATGAAATGGACTACAGTATTTTATGGCATATTTCAATGAACCGCTCATGGAACACATTGTTCAGGAAAAGAAAATACAGTGGTACCTCCCATAACGAATTTAATCCGTTCCATGTTCGTCAAGTGAAACGGACGTCATACAAAACGAGTGTCCCCCATGTAACCAGTGTGATGCACTGTGTTTATTGTGAAATTTCCCTAGTGTGCATGACATCAAATGTTCCCCAAAATATAATTTTTCTTTGTAAAATGATAAATTACCGTCCCTGAACATGTCTATGTAAAAATAATTACCAAATTCCACTTACTTTGGCTGTGAGGGCGTGGACAAGGTGTGCTGTGACGTCATCAGGGGCTGGTCGCCCGTGTGTGAAGCTCCCAGACACGGTCGCGCAGGCCATTCACGCACCGCGTGTTGCCACAAATGTATTTTCAAATATTTTTCCTATGCATTTCCAATGCGGTTTTATTTGTTTCTTTTATTGTATATGATGCATATTTGTGACCTTTACAATATGTATACAGTAGAATGTTCATAATTTTCCATGAAACTTGGATACATGTGTCAGTAATGTGTCCACAATAAATGTTTATTGTCACAATATTACGTGGTAAAAATGCACTAATATTACAATATGTACAGTTTCACATACTATTTACACAGTAACACACTGTATTACACACTCAGTACTTTGGAGGTGCGTAATAGTCAACGAAGTAGTCCATGGAACACAGCGCGACTTTGCTCTCCTTGCACCAGCTACAGATAGATTTTTGTTTCCTGTTTCATCGTTCTGTGTGCTTGCAAATAATGCACTCGCGTGCACCCTTGGCTTTAGTACTTGTAGGTGGTATGTAGCCAAGCTTGTAAAGCATAAGGTAGTATTGAAACGATTATAGGAAAAGCTCAATTTGTAAGGTAGTCTTGAAAAGATCGCTTTGTAAGGTCCCACACAGGAAGAGATTCAGCTAGCCTCAAAGAGTGTCCATCAGTCAGGAAGAGATTCAGCTAGCCTCAAAGAGTGTCCATCAGTCAGGAAAAGATTCAGGTATTCTTAAAAATATCAATGAACACCACCACCATGGAAGCCGCTAACACTGTTCATCTATGCTACTTGTATCAGATGCATCATCACTGAACGCAGAAAACGATTCATCTATGTATCATCTATATACATTAGAGATGGCAAGGGTGGGGCTCAGAGCTACACCTGGATACGCTCGCTGTATCATCCTCATAGGTGCTGTATCACAGGCATCCGACCGTTGTGTTAAGCCCTTATTGCGCCTAGCTTCACCAATGTTATGACCCTTATGTTCTTCAAACAATAGGGTCTGAATTGCACTGACTGAGTACAGTCTTTCAACACCGTGTGGGACAGGTGTTTGAGAGCCAGAGGCATGTGTGCTACAAATGGTTGCTCACGCACTACTAACCCAGCCAGCAGCCCTTGTCTTCCATATTCGTTATAGCAAAAGGTTCGTTCAGTGTTTGTTGGGTAGGCTGCTCCATTATGACAATCTTTCTTTGTTTCAAATGTGTTCCATTTGTTTTGTATTTATCACTTACGTCTCAATAATGGAGCAGCCTACCCGACAAACACTGAACGAACCTTTATGACATTTGTCCATTTTTCAAATTGTTTCAAGTTCTTTTATTTTTCGTTTTTTTTTTTTTTTTTTAAGAAACATGGAGCAGTCGACCTGTAGACCACCGAACGAACATTTTTGACATTTGTACTGGTTTTCAAAATTCTTCATATTTTTTATTATTTACGTTTTTTGTATGTAAGAAACATGGAGCAGCCTACCTGCCGACCACCGAACGAACCTTTTGCTATAAGACAAATGAAAAATAAATATTGAACACATTTGAAGAAAGGAAAATGTCATAATGGTTTATTCAGTGTATGTAAGGTAGGCTTCTCCATTATTGAGACGTAAATGACAAATAAAAAACAAATGGAACACATTTGAAACAAAGAAAGATTGTTATAATGGAGCAGCCTACCTGCCGAACACCGAACGAACTTTTTTGACATTTGTTGTATATCAGATATTTCATTTCCTTTTTCCTACAAAAACGTCAATGCTTTGCAACATCTCAGCAGTCACCCTTTTATATCCCAGCATCATTAGCATCTTTAAACAAGAACAACATAATTTATGTGCATCGTCGGAGGCGTCTAAGAATGTGCAAGCAGCAGCGCGACCCCACCATGTGGTGTTGACGTTACTCAAACCAGCGTTCGTCATACGGGACGATTTGACGCCGATCGGGCCGTTCGTTACCCAAAATATTCGTCTTTTGGGGCAATCGTTATGCGAGGTACCACTGTATAAAGTATTTAGCACGGGTGGTACGTGAACAAGGGGACACAGCTGGAAACTTAGCACTGAAATGAGCCACAGAGACATTAGAAAAAACTTTTTCAGTGTCAGGGTAGTTAACAAATGGATTGCATTAGTGTGATGTGGTGGAGGCAGACTCCATACATAGTTTCTAATGTAGATATCATAGAGCCCAATAGGCTCACGAACCTGTACACCAGTTGATTGACAATTGAGAGGTGGGACCAAAGAGCCAAAGCTCGACCCCCACAAGCACAACTAGGTGAGTACAGTAATATCATGGAGGAGGGAAAGGCCAGTGTTTGACAGAAATTTTGCAGTATCTGAATGTCAGCTAAGAAACTAAGAAAAAAGTGACAAATACGTGCAGTGCATTGGAAAGACAGACGAGAAGTGAGTATGTTTGTAACCATTCATACTGGTGGGATGGTGAACAGTGGCAAGGTCAGCAGAGCAATCAAAGGACCAGACATATTCAGTTTGCTTGGTCTCCTGTTCCAAGATTTGCACTTATCAGATTGTCTGCAGTGTCATTGGGTCTAGCCAGCATGGGCTGATATTTGGGTTCGGAGGTTTTGGCAACCCTGTATTTAGTTAACATTCATGGTTCCCGGCCTGGATTCTCTCCGTCATCTTAGTACCAGTTGCCTCTCCTCCCTGGCAAGTCTGGTGTTTTTGTTCTCTGTGGTCAGTTAGCTTCAGGGTGCCACCGGGAGGCTCCCCTACTAGCCCAACATTTAATGCAATGAAATGCCTCTTTCTGCTAAAGCCATGGTGGCTCCATTTCTCTCGCATCTCTCCAGGTTTGTCAGTTTGTCACTGGGTTGTTCATCAGCTCCAGAGCAGATCAGGGTAGCTGGCTTTAGGCTGAGGCCAAGCTACCCGGTAGTGGCTATCAGTACTAATGAGTTTGAACTAGTTTTGATGAATCTTTTGTTTCATTTGAAGTGTTTGCTGTGCTGTTTGGCAGTTTCAAGGCTTCGACTTTCTGGATGATCTTTCCGGTTTGGTGGTGAATTATTATTCTCTTTACTTCTGTGAAGGGGGGATAGGGTCTAGCTCTTATTCCATGGTAGGCCAGAGAGAATTCCTGCGATTAATGTGATCCATTAGATGAAGCAATCTCGGTGAGATACCTTCAGGGACTCTCAAGGCTGTACCAGAAAGAGGCATTTTATTGCATTCAATGTGGCTTTTTTAATTGCTATGATGTATTGTGCATTCAAAGTTATTAATGTTTAAGTAAAATATAAAGCAGCTTATTAATTTTCAGTTGTTAAACTTGATGGCAGTATTCCTGTTAAGTATGGGCTGCGGTTAAACAGTGAGAGTCGTTACTATGATGTAAAGCAGCACCTTCACACACTTACCAATATACCTCCACACCAGATAATGCTCAGTGAACTGGCAAATGCTCAGATCAAGGTAAATATGATTTATACTCTACTACAATAATATTTTAACAATCCATAATGTTCAAAATAATTAACAAATCCTTGTTTTGAAATACTGTAGAGAAACCCTATACCAAGTGATTATTTTAAGTTGACTTAAGTGTTTTATGTTTCCTGTACTTTATTCCTACCTTCAGTAACTTTATATATATTATATAAAACTGATTGGTGTAGCTGTTACTCAGATTTTTTCATAGATTGTGAAAGTGTGATTGTTTTATAATCACACTCTATATTCTGTATTGAAATCTTGTTGTTTTGAATATTCATAGCAACAAAATACATTTTATTTTGAATGTTCCAATGAGGGTTTTTTCTGTGGAGAGCTCCTCCGGCTCCCTGGAACTATACCGGGCTGATGTGTGTATATTAGACCATGGAAGCAGTCAATCGATGGAGTTTTAGAAAGTACTGGGGCTGCATGCACCTAGGGTCACCTTCCCTAGGTGCCCTGTAAGTACTGCCCTTGCAGTTTGAGGTTACCTTCCACAAACTGTTCGGAAACTATCCCCACAGGGTTCTTTTGTCTGCTCGGTGATTGCCTGCCCTTGGGGCCAGCTGGTTTTTTTTTCCTGCTGGCTGGGGCGCAAGGTACTGTGCAGCTGTCTGATATACGCATAGCGACTGGTTCTGTTCCTCCTGGAGACGTTGTGCTTTTGTGCGGGGTTTTTCTTTTCTGTTGTTTTGTCTGCCTGGTATAGCTGTAGGACCACTTATATTATTTTGGTGGCCCTCCAGGTCTCACCCAGAAAATGGTGTTTCATTACATTCAATGCTGGTTTTATTATTTTGATTTTTTTATCTTAGAATTTTCACCTGTAGTGAAGATTATGGTAGTCTTAATACATTAATGATGCTTTCAGTATTAATGGTTTACATTATTAATAGTTATATAGGTGAGATTACAATGGAAATTTTGGGAAAGGGAATAAAAGAGTGAGGAAAGGTTGGGAAAGTTCATCAGTTCATTACAAAATATGGATGATGGGTCACCACTTTTCCTTGGTGAAAGAATGCTCTGACAACCTGGAGGGCAGTTGAGTGTAGCTTGTGATTCTCCTCATTGTGTTATTGGTAGGGAAACAGATTAAATGGTTTAAAGTGATCCTGTTAGTTCACAGCTCTTCCTCCCTCTTGTTTGGCTCCATTGGAAAGTCAGAGATGATAACCTAACCCAGTGTGTCCAAATCTTCTTTGGTAGTCATGTAGGAAATTAAACAGAGAATGTGAAAATTCTTCCACTCTGCAGATAAAATAGATGTCTTGAAGACTTCCTGCTTAAATGACCCTTGATCCCTATTTCATTGGTGATCAGGTCCAGGTTGGCCTTTACTGCCGAGATCTTCGCCTCAGTAGTGCCACTAGGCTTAATTTCCACTGTCATAATCTTTAATGTGATCCCAGTGATGGAATGAGGAAGCATTTTGGAGTGTTGTGTGTGTGTGTGTGTGTGTGTGTGTGTGTGTGTGTGTGTGTGTGTGTGTGTGTGTGTGTGTGTGTGTGTGTGTGTAATTACCTAAGTGTAATTACCTAAGTGTAATTACCTAAGTGTAATTACCTAAGTGTAATTACCTAAGTGTAATTACCTAAGTGTAGTTACAGGATGAGAGCTACGCTCGTGGTGTCCCGTCTTCCCAGCACTCTTTGTCATATAACGCTTTGAAACTACTGACGGTCTTGGCCTCCACCACCTTCTCACTTAACTTGTTCCAACCGTCTACCACTCTATTTGCGAAGGTGAATTTTCTTATATTTCTTCGGCATCTGTGTTTAGCTAGTTTAAATCTATGGCCTCTTGTTCTTGAAGTTCCAGGTCTCAGGAAGTCTTCCCTGTCGATTTTATCAATTCCTGTTACTATTTTGTACGTAGTGATCATATCACCTCTTTTTCTTCTGTCTTCTAGTTTTGGCATATTTAATGCTTCTAACCTCTCCTCGTAGCTCTTGCCCTTCAGTTCTGGGAGCCACTTAGTAGCATGTCTTTGCACCTTTTCCAGTTTGTTGATGTGCTTCTTAAGATATGGGCACCACACAACAGCTGCATATTCTAGCTTTGGCCTAACAAAAGTCATGAACAACTTCTTTAGTATATCGCCATCCATGTATTTAAATGCAATTCTGAAGTTAGAAAGCATTGCATAGGCTCCTTGCACAATATTCTTAATGTGGTCCTCAGGTGATAGTTTTCTATCTAGAACCACTCCTAGATCTCTTTCTTTATCAGAATTCTTTAAAGATTTCTCACATAATATATAGGTTGTGTGGGGTCTATGTTCTCCTATTCCACATTCCATAACATGACATTTATTAACATTAAATTCCATTTGCCAAGTGGTGCTCCATATACTTATTTTGTCCAGGTCTTCTTGAAGGGCATGACAATCATCTAAATTTCTTATCCTTCCTATTATCTTAGCATCATCAGCAAACATGTTCATATAATTCTGTATACCAACTGGTAGATCATTTATGTACACAATAAACATCACTGGTGCAAGAACTGAACCCTGTGGTACTCCACTTGTGACATTTCTCCATTCCGATACATTGCCTCTGATTACTGCCCTCATTTTTCTATCAGTCAGAAAATTTTTCATCCATGATAGAAGCTTACCTGTCACCCCTCCAATATTTTCCAGTTTCCAGAACAACCTCTTATGTGGAACTCTGTCGAAAGCCTTTTTTAGGTCCAGATAGATGCAGTCAACCCAGCCATCTCTTTCCTGTAATATCTCTGTGGCCCGATCATAGAAACTGAGTAAATTCGATACACAGGATCTTCCTGATCGAAAACCATACTGTCTGTCTGATATTATATCATTTCTCTCCAGGTGTTCTACCCATTTAGTTTTGATTAGCTTTTCCAATACTTTCACTATTACACTTGTCAATGATACAGGTCTATAATTGAGGGGGTCTTCCCTGCTGCCACTTTTGTAGATTGGAACTATGTTAGCCTGTTTCCACACGTCTGCTACGATTCCTGTACACAGGGATGCCTGAAAGATCAGGTGAAGTGGAATGCTGAGCTCAGATGCACATTCTCTCAGAACCCATGGTGAAACGCCATCTGGGCCAGCTGCTTTGTTCCTCCCGAGCTCCTTTAGCATATTTTCCACTTCATCTCTAGACACCTCTATCCGCTCTATGTTGTTCTCTGGAATTCTTATTGTGTCTGGTTCTCTGAAGATTTCATTTTGTACAAACACACTTTGGAACTTTTCATTTAATGTTTCACACATTTCCTTTTCATTTTCCGTGAATCTGTTTCCCATTTCCAACCTCTGGATATTATCCTTTACCTGCAATTTGTTGTTTATGAATTTGTAGAATAGGCCCGGTTCTGTTTTACATTTATCTGCTATCCCTTTTTCAAAATTTCTTTCTGCCTCTCTCCTTACTGCTGTATAATTGTTTCTCGCATCTTTGTATCGCTGGTATGTTTGGGGGTTTGGCCTCTTCCTATACTGATTCCATTTTTGTGTCTTTTGGTCTCTTGCCCTCTCACAATTTCTGTCGAACCAATCCTGTTTTCTGGTCCTGCATCTCTGTTTTGGTATGAATGTTTGTGTGCCTTCCTCGTATAGTTTTAAAAATTTGGCATACATTTCATTTACTTCCCTGCCTAGCAACAATTCTGTCCAATTACACTCATTAAAAAAATTTCGAAGTTCCCCATAGTTGCCTCTCTTTAAATCGAGTTTATCAACTGTTTCAATGTCCCCATTTTCTTCTAGATGATATCTTAAAGCATATTTAATGTCTAACAGGACGTGATCACTCTTTCCCAAGGGAGGAAGGTACTGGATGTCAAAAATCTCTTCTTCTTTCCTGGTGAATACTAGATCCAGTACTGACGGTATATCTCCTTCCCTCATTCTTGTGGCTTGCTTTATGTGTTGATACAAGAATGTCTCCAGAATGAGGTTCACAAATCTGCATGTCCAAAAGTCCTCCGTTCTTGCTTCATAGGCCTCCCAGTCTATTGCTCTAAAGTTGAAGTCCCCCAGTATCAACAGTCGTGATTTATCTTTATCTGCTTGTACAATAATATCTCTCATGACCATTATGAGGCCCTCTCGTTTGTCATCCAGTTCTTCCTTTGTCCACGTGTTGCTTGCTGGTGGGCTGTAGGCATTTACAATTATCAGGTTATCATCCTGATTCCAGACCTGCAATGCCATTATGTCAATATCTCGAGGGTATGTGTGTGTGTGTGTGTGTGTGTGTGTGTGTGTGTGTGTGTGTGTGTGTGTGTGTGTGTGTGTGTGTGTGTGTGTAAGTGTAATTACCTAAGTGTAGTTACAGGATGAGAGCTACGCTCGTGGTGTCCCGTCTTCCCAGCACTCTTTGTCATATAACGCTTTGAAACTACTGACGGTCTTGGCCTCCACCACCTTCTCACTTAACTTGTTCCAACCGTCTACCACTCTATTTGCGAAGGTGAATTTTCTTATATTTCTTCGGCATCTGTGTTTAGCTAGTTTAAATCTATGACCTCTTGTTCTTGAAATTCCAGGTCTCAGGAAGTCTTCCCTGTCGATTTTATCAATTCCTGTAACTATTTTGTATGTAGTGATCATATCACCTCTTTTTCTTCTGTCTTCTAGTTTTGGCATATTTAATGCTTCTAACCTCTCCTCGTAGCTCTTGCCCTTCAGTTCTGGGAGCCACTTAGTAGCATGTCTTTGCACCTTTTCCAGTTTGTTGATGTGCTTCTTAAGATATGGGCACCACACAACAGCTGCATATTCTAGCTTTGGCCTAACAAAAGTCATGAACAATTTCTTTAGTATATCGCCATCCATGTATTTAAATGCAATTCTGAAGTTAGAAAGCATAGCATAGGCTCCTTGCACAATATTCTTTATGTGGTCCTCAGGTGATAGTTTTCTATCTAGAACCACTCCTAGATCTCTTTCTTTATCAGAATTCTTTAAAGATTTCTCACATAATATATAGGTTGTGTGG